TAACCACTTGTTGTAAGTAAAATGTCTAGAAAAAGGCTGAATAATTATACTGTTCTTTAACAAATCCCATAATGATAACAGAACATATTAGATGCATTGAATGTGCTTTAACTTCTATTATTTTCTCAGTTCTACTCTCAGTCTAGTGTGCTGTGGGATCATGAAGGTCAGGACATCACACACTACAATGCCGTTTGGGATTCGGCCTCACTTCTGCATTATCCATGCATTCCCCGGGTAGTCAGGGATTGCTGGGAGATGGACAAAGCTGTCAGGCTTCAGCCTTCACCACAACCATGATGGAATCTGCTATAACGGCTCTGTGTGCAAGTCGCAATCGCCTCGGGAACCTTTCGCATTAACACACAAAGCATATGCTCCTAACGGCCCATAGCCCTCTGCCTTAACAGCATATTAAACCCAATAACGCATCTACCAGACCCACATAATGATCCGGGACAGCGGCGGAGTCTGAAGGAGCTGTCACACGGGTGTTAGGAAGCTTTGAGGAGGAAGCACAGCTCAACTGTAAATCAAACAAGGAGGAAAGACAAATGTTTGGCTTTAGTTCTGTTTTTCTTTTTCTTGGTGGAGGGAGATTAAGACCTCTCGAGTCTACATGCTTCCCATTGATCTGGAACAAAGTAACATTTGAAGAAATGTCATAAATTTCGACCTGTTGCTGCAGTGATGGCTTTATCAGACATACTGGCTCTTTTTCACAGGAGAGAAGGAGCGATTGGCCACCAGAGAACGGGAACATCACGGTCGAGAGATTGAGCTGTCAGTGTGTACGCGCATGTGTTTTTTTGTACATTATCAGAATATAAAAATTTTAGTCTAAATTTGTAGGACAACCAGAGAAAAAGCAGGGTTAACAATGTAAGGACCATCAAACTGATACTGATTTTGGGTAATTTTTTAAATTTAAGATATATTTTTTTCATTACTGAGGTTAAAATTTGGGTTAAATTTAGGAATTAGCTTAGAACATTATTATTACAAATAGGTTATCATGTATATATATGTAGCACAATACATAGAGATCATTACACGTATATAATAAATATGGGACACATGGCATACAGGCAATTATATATGTAAGTAATTATACATAGGTTATTACATATATAATACATACAGGACATACTACATATATGTAATACATAAGGGATGTATTATCACAAATAGATAACTACATGTACATGATACATATAGGACATATTATGTATATGCAATGAAATAGATCCAATACATATGTCACAACATTGCATAAAAAGCAAGCCTGTGTGTGTGTGTGTGTGTGTGTGTGTGTGTGTGTGTGTGTGTTTGTGTACTTTTGCATGTTAGCGCCATGTCTTGATCTGAGAGTACAGATCCCTGCAGCATGTTAAACTGCCTATCCTGCTCAGGGACACAGTGTGAACCTGTGATTGGGGGCAGAATGAGGAGTGTGTGTGTTCTTATCAGAGCTGATTAGGTTCGGCTGAATGATGCTGTGCAGGTAATTTGGTGGAGGACAGAGAGAGAGAGTAAGGTCATCTCTGCTGAACTGCCATAGAGACTGAGACAGCTAGAGGAGCCATTAAGCACCACAATGCTGATACCCCGCTTTCAGTAATACACACATACACACACGAGGACCAACCACAAGCATGCTGACATGCCACAGTGCCTCTCTTCAGCTGTTGTACACATCAGACTCTAACATGCACACACAAACACTCACTCTGGCTCTCTCTCTGAGTCTCTGTGTACCGGACCAGATGGACATCTGTCCATCACCCTGGTCAATGCAGTCTGGGGAAGCATTCTGATGACGCCTTTTTAAACACAAAGCACGTCTTGTGCTTAAAAAGAAGCAGGACACACTACTTAAGAGCGTGAATTAATGCATGCATATAAACACCAGAAAAAAATCTGAAAGACTGAGATAAGTGATAAACACTTCGAAACTTACAAAAAAATTAATTGAAAACTTTTTTTCAGTTTGTGTTAATCTTTGTGCCGAGTACTGCACAGCTCTGGGTGTTCAGCCAAAACTAGCTTTTCCTCTATTGATGACTAAAGAGAAGCCATCCTCGATACTGATTGGGCATCTGTCACTTTTTCATGACACTGGGCAAAAAATGTGATGCTTTTTCATCTTAAATGTGTGGAATCAAACTGCGAAGTGTGCTGCACAGATTAGAGAAGTACTTTCCAGTCTGAAAAGGCAATGTCTGAACACCCATTAAAGCTCTCTAGCTAAATAATGCTGGAAAGTTCAATTCATTTTGCAAAACTGATTCTTCCGAACTGTCCGTTTTGGTGAACATGACTCAATTCATTCACTGAATCATGTCAAGTCAACATCAGCCTCATCTCTTCGACTCACCTATTCCTGCTCCACCCACAAATATGACCTTTCACGTAAAATAGTTAAAGATTCAAACTGTACTAGAGGTCTATTACATGAACACATACTTCACACAGGTGCTACAATACTTTGATTCAGCTCCTGAGAATTGATTTTGATTGATTTATTGAAAAGAATAAGCTCAAAAGATCGATTCATTCACAGCAAGAGGCTGCTCCAGTAAGACACTAGCAAAGCGAAACCAGCCTCCGAGTGCACCCGACACCTCTGAACACATTAACAGCCTCTGACACCCTCCATTCATCTCTAGCCTCTTTGTGTGTGCACTAGTGTGGGAGAACATGTCTATCATCAAGCGCAAGTCTGTATCTTTTTCAGGACAGACACATTATTTTATGTTAATCCAAATTATAGTATTTTGAATAATAATAATAATATAAAAACTCCTGAAAGCATGCAGACAGAAAATGTATCTGCAGGGGCTGTGGCAGCATGTGTCTCTCTACACAGCATGCCAACATAAATATACATATCTTCCAGGCTTATGCATAAATAGTGGGTTATCACTCCCTAAATAGCGGCTGATTGGTCATGCCTGCTATACAGCGTCTGCCATAGAGACACAGTGCCATTTCTTAATAAAGCTTAACCACGCTGAAACGTAAGCTGGGTAAACACACAGAGCACATGGTGATGGGACATAGTGCAGAGATTTACTGGCTGATTAAAGTAGGGTCTGCAGCAGCAGGGGGTTCGGGCTAAAGACCCTAATGCCAGTTGGTGGGGTCATAACAAGAGCTTTCCTGGGTTGTCACCACTGCTGTGTTTATTTCATCCTACAAGTCATCACCACCCCCCTCAAAACAAGAGATACAAATTCTACAGCAGACCAATCTGGTCTAAACAGGATTTTCAGGGGTTTTAAAGTAATAAAAAAGATCATGGGGCTGTGACACCTGACAGACACAATCAACTTGCTCCTTTCACTTAGTGTGCACGGCTCTTAGGCTGAGTTATGCTAGCTCAGCCCACAGAAGCTCTCGCCGCCTCCATTATCTGTCTCTTATCACTCTCTAATTCTTTCTCTCTTTTCCATTTTAACCCCCTCTTCCCTGTACCCCTTCCCCCTCCCTGATGCCTTCACATCTGCCTGTCTGCTCACTCCATCAGTCCAGGCTGAGTGCAGGAGGCTTGTGGGAAACAGAGTCCTTTGGGGAAGGCTGTGTGGTTACTTTCCCTTCTCCAGTTTCTGCTCTCAGCCTGAGAACGGGGAGCCCATGAGGGCCAGGAGTGAACTCTATTAGCCTGCTAACCTGGAGCAGCTACTCTGTAGGAGGGAGACACAGCGTCAGTCAAAAGGAACACACGCATATGGCTGCTGGCTCAAAGGGCGCAGACAAGAAAGGAGTGAGCTAGCAGCCTCTCCTGCTCAGCCTTTTTTTCTTCTTTTCCCCTCCCTGCGCAGGCTAATAACTCTATTAGGGCCCTACAGTGCAGGTCTCATGAATACACGTACACAGGCGTGACATCATCATACACACAGCCAGGACAAAAACCAACGCACATATGATACAGTGTCTCTGTGTCTCTCTCTCTCCTTCTTTGTACACGTATACATAAGCTAATATAAGACCATATATATATATGTACCATATGTATTATGTATACATGTATAAGTAATATGCCCCATCTATACTATGTAAGTATCTATATGTATTACCACAGGAGACTGTTTGTACCAACAGTGACTGCACTGTACGACACCATCACTGTGCCGGCACATTATTGTATACTGAGCCACTGACAGGACAGGCTCACTGGGCACCAGCTAGACATTACATTACATTATATCTCTCTATCTTATCTCTATATTACTATGCACTGCCACTTTGTTTATATATCTATACATATTGCATACTGCACTGCCACTTTGTTTATACATCCATAAATATTTCATATTGCACAACTGTTAACATAGGTCATTGTTTACAATACATAGTCACTCAGTTCATTCACCGGAGGGGACATGCACCACTGCATTGTCAACTGCATAGTATTTATGCGATTTTACTTCTTATTTTTGTATTGCACATTATATTTTTATTGTTCTTTTAGTGTATTTTATTATTTATCTTTACATGCATCTGTAAATAGCGTACAACAATACCTTTGCATCTATCAATCTATTAAATATGTTCCTCATGTATTACACATATGCAAAACCTGTGAGACACAATATGTCCCATAAGTGTTATCTATATGTAAGCACCTTTGTAATAAAAATGTGTCTCATATGCATCTCATGTATAACCTATATGTAATAGTACCTACATGCATTAATATATGTATTTAAGTACCTATATATAATAATAAGCCATATATGTATAATATGCTATAAGTACTTACATGTAATAATAATTTTGGGAACCTAACCAAACTTCACCTCAGTTGCCAGTTTTTAACCTGTCAGTTTTAAATAAATGAAACATGTAGCTTTTGTAAAACACACTTTACAAATGCAGGGCCATGTCTCTGCTCCTGACAAGCTCTGTTTGTCTCTGATATTTATTTTTTCACACATTTTTATTCTGAATATTATCAAACACACTCACTCTCTCACAAAGTCATCAGCTTTCCTTACCTTGTGGTTCTTGATGTGACGGTAGACCATCCAGTCCTCTCCGTTGGTACTGACCTCCAGCTTGAATGTAGTGACGAAGTATGACTTGTGCGTCTCCTTGGAGATGGCACCCTGGGTGGCAATGCCTGTCAGAACCTTCAGGAAGTGAAGGTCCACCTAGAAAAGGAGAAGAAGGAAAAAAAAGGTTGACAAAAGTGATGGGAGATAGAAGCATGACAGATGGCGAGGTAGTAATATATGCAATGGGTGTGAGGAATGATGAGAAGGAAAGGGGAGAAAATGAGGGAAGTGAGAGGAAGGAGTGAGGAGAGAGAGTGATAGGCAAGAAGAGAAAGGAAGAAAGATGAGAGAGATACGTGAGTTGGGAGAATATCAGGGTTCTCCCAGCAGATGCTGTTATCAGTCTTAGGCCTGACATTAATCACTTCTGCTCAGATCAATCTGTGCCCGACCACACCTCCTTCACTTTCTGTGCTGCTTTCATGAGCCAAGGGAATTATTATAAATATGAGTTTCTGACCTGAAAGTTGCACATTAAACTCCTTTCATGTCATAATTGTGAAGTAATTAATGGAAACAATTTCCATTTTTGAGTTACTGACCTTTCTCCCTTAATTATTACACTTTTTTTAGTTTTTAACTGCAACCTTCTTTTATAGTCGCTCATTAGGCCGCAGACATTTGCTTACATGTGTAACTATTAGCTGCCTTACATTTTGGCATTTGAAGAAAAACAAGGATGATACCAAAACAGCTAAAATTAGTTGTTTGCTTCATCACAAAAGCCTTCGAAACGATGGAAAAGGACACTTCAATGTGCACATGAAGGCAGCCTTAGCCCATCTCTATCCCTGCCCCACTGAGGATGAGAAAGGTGATTCATGTGCTGTCTCTTGATCGCTGTGGTGTGGGCTTTCCATCAGAGATTCAGCAGCAGTAGCCACGAGCTCCAAACCATGACGCCCATCTGAGTAGGGTGTCATCCGAACATGAGCAGGAAAACTGCAGCGTTTGTTATCTGTCAGGAAAGCAGGTGTGGCTTTCACTTACACACATACACACACATGTGCATGTACACACACACACACACACACTTCCTTGTGTGTGGCTGCTTAAGGCCACAGCGAAACGCACCTAGACAAAAAATCAATAGCGCAGAGGACTGCTGCTAACTATTTATTCTCAGCAAAGGACCCTCATCAATCAAGTGGCTGTTACCATCAGAGCCAGCCGCGCATCATCAACCCACACCCAGACAGAGAGAGAGAGAGAGAGGAAAGAGCAAGAGAGGAAAGAGAAAGAGAGAGAGGGAAGAGGGAGAGAGGAAAAAGCAAGAAAGGGAGAGAGGGAGGAGAGAAAGAGAGAGAGAAGAAAAAGAGAAAGGGAGAGAAGAGAGAGAGAAAGAGCCAAGGGGTGGGGGTGTCGATGGGGTGAGATTGTGCCTTCTCTGTGTCATCGCTGAAGCAGCCAGGAGGAGAAGAGAGTGTGATGAGATCTTAATGTCTTTTGCAGACAGTTCAGTTGCACACTCACACACACACTCACTCGCACAAACAGCTCACTCCTACTACACACCACCACAGGACGCAGTGTATATACAACTGCCACACTTTAACACCTAAAAAATCACTTCCACTGGTGCCCTGAATTTACTTGCTTAGAATGTGTACATTTCAACACAATTTTGCCTTTCAGTTTATTTACTTTTATTAATAATTATGATGTACTGTATTCAAGTTAAAATGATGTACACCAACGCTCAAAAGAAATGAAATTACACTATTGCTGATTTTAAGCATGTATCTGTTGTTGATGTTACTTAACAAACGCATGTAACTGGCTATAAAAGCAAGTTACTATGTGCCTGGACATTACATAGATCTAACTTAGATCTATTAAGTTGTATTGCTTTTATTTCCTTTATTTGAATACAACATAAGATATAAATACACAGTACACACTTTAAAAAGGCTTATTTGGGTTTTCACAACACAAGGTGTCTGTGTAGTTCTAAAAAGACATTTTAAAGTAAAAAAAAAAAACAGTTGTGTGGAACCACTGTCTGAAATTGAAATAAGTAGTTCAATTACATAGTTTGAGTGTAAGAATCAAGTATATTCAGTGCACTACATTTTCAGAGTAATCTGCATCAGGCTATTGTGGACGCTGCTGTAAGACATATGGCTCTGAGGCATGCAGTCATTGATGACAGCTGTGCGCCAGGATGGCTGTCTGGCTGAGGACTGCTAGGTGTGAACACAGCACAGCAGCTGGGTGTTCAGTAAGAACTCCACCACTGACCAGTATCCAGACATGCTGGCCCACACAGTACTGGGGTTCAAGCAGTGCCAGACAAGAACTTCACCTTTCTCTCCACTTTCAAGGCACTGGTACAGCACCTTACTGGAGCCTCAGTCCATCTTAAATGGAACTTAGAACATTTTCAATCTCTCAGGATTATGTGTGTGTGGGGGGTGGGGGTGACTGGGTGGATCACGAAGTTCTGTTTAAACGTCTCCAGCTTTGCAGGCTAACATTAGTCTAGCCTCTCCTGATAATGATTATGTGGCCTGTTAACGAGCTGTGGAAAGGATGCCATTTCACTTTATTAGGCATATGTGTGTGTGAGGTATTGGCTTAATAGCATGGTGGATAAAACCACTGCCCCACATACAGAATGCAATCTTACTATCTTGGATCACTTATACTGTATAATCCAGTAAACCATAACAAGGTCTGTGTATATGTTGCACCAATATCCTGGAGGAGAATTACTTCACTCCACTGTATACTAATGTACAGTTTAGATGACAAAGTTATTTTTAAACTTTTTCATGCTTATGACATTTAAAGTTCTTAATGGTCTAGCTCCAGCATACCTTTCTCATCTATTAGAGTGTTTTAGCCCTTCCAGACCACTTCGCTCAGCTGACGCAGAATCACTGCAAGTCCCAGGATCACTTACAGCTCAGTTGGTAAAAGATCTATATAGCTCCTAAACTCTGGAACAGCATTCCAGAGAATATTAGGAACACAAGCTTGTCAAGCGTTTCTAAATCCAGGTTAAAAACATAGTGTAGGCTAGCACACACAGACAGCTTGCATAATCTCCACAGAATGGGATGCTGTGGAGCAATAACATATGAGCCTAAATTTACCATGCCCAATGCCAAGAATCAGCTAGAAGGGTTTGAAGGCCTCCAGCAGTGAAATTGTGCCTTCTGCAGTGATGGAGCATCTTCAAAAAACCATGGAATGAGTTGGAGTAGCATTTGTGATCCACGTATATCAGTATCTGACCTCAATAATGCTCTTGTAGCTCAATGCAATTAAATTCTCAGAGCAATGTTCCAACATTGTAGTGTAAAGCCTTTCCGCAAGTGTAGAGGCTGTTATAGCAGTAAAGGGGGGAGAAGTTCCCTATTAATACCCTTGATTTCAGAATAAATGTTGAAGCATGAACATTTAGATGTATGGAGGAAAAGACACAATAAGTGAGCTGGAGAGAAAAGACAAAGACAGAGTGAATTTTTGGAGGTCTTCATTTCAGCCCAGCTTGTTGATCATCTTGCTCAAACATACTGGATGCAACAATTTATGACCTGTTCATCTAGGTGTGTTAGAGCAGAGAGAACAGCAACACCGGCTTTCCAAGACCAGACCTGTGTGTGCTCACCTGTATGTATTCTTTGCTGCTGTCCTCAGCTGGCGTCCAGGCATTTTCATTGTAGTTGAGTCGAGCCTGTCGTGGAGCCCAGTGACCATCACTGAACGAGGAAGAGGCCGTGATCTGGTCATCCGTGATGTGGCCCGACTCCATCCCAAAAGCATTGCTGCAGTGGAAATCTGAGAGCATGCAAACAATATATAAGCTACTATAAAAAGGGGGAGGCTGAGATGCACGAGCAAAGAACAGGAGATACTTACTTTCACTAACTTCCTTTAACGTCATGTTGTAGCGGGCGGAGAAGCCGTCTTTAGCCACCGCCATGTCTGTGTGGAAGGTAAGCGAGAGGATGCCAGTGGATGACTTGAGCTCAGGAGGGATCTTGGTGCCACAGTGACGGCCGATGAGGGGCCCAACTGCAGAATTACACAAAAGGTACATTTACATAACAAACCTTGTTGCATAATTCCAGCCTTTTGGCTCAGATTTTGTTCAGATTCTTTTTGCCTTGACATGATTCGTACTCAAATGTGTGAGTGACCAATAGGCCTGTATGTCATTAGTGGGACCACACTTCTGCCCTAAAAGGACCCTTACCAAACTTACAGTTTGCAAAACAACACATGCATCATAAACAATAACAAAACATTTTTGCTAGAAAAAAAAAAAAACATTTGCTGTAAAATTATTGTAGCAGACTTAAAATGAACAAACCACCAGCATCACAAGAGTATTCGTCCTTTGTTGAGTTTGGATGAAAGCTTGTCAGTTGTTCATGATTAGGACAAGAAGGTGAAAAAAGACACAAAGGTTTTGGTCCCGCAGACATTACTGGCACTTCTATGCTTAGAGATGTGTACAGCGCACACAGTGATATGCATAACAAGGTGTGATATGTTGTTTAAAAAAAACAAATTCTAACCACTCTCATAACAGAATTGTAACAGAATCATTCCCAATATAGAATTACCATCATTATGGTCACATATAAGATATGTATCTCAAAGCACATATGAAAGTGGTTCAAATCTGAATTCCAATTCTCCAGTGCCAATTTTTGTGTTTACACAGGTCTGATAAGATCAGATGTCAAAATCAGACTTACAGTACTTCCACCCTGCAACATAAACTTAGCCAAAATACTCATATAGGCCCACACAGCTATTATGCCAATATTCTTCATCCATAGCTGTATTGTTCAAACGTTTAATCAACAACAAGCCCCCCATCTCTCCCTTAACCCCCACCCCAGTAATGAATTCTCAGACAATCCAGTCTGGCTTTTAATACGTTAAATCCTCATTTTACAGACAGACAGATGAGAACTCAGACTGAGAGGGCCCTGGGGGGAAGCAGAGCCCTGTGAAGAACAGCATGGATCAGGCGCTGTATGTGTTTCTACTGTAGTCACGTTGAGATGGAGAGGGATTTAGCTCTAATGAGGTGTTTCACTCTTTCCTGGCTGTCCGGCCACATGATCAGACCTACTCTTCTCCTAGTGTGTGCCTTCATCTTCAGACTTAAGTTATCCATCCATCCATCTCTCTCTCACTCTGCTTTGCTATGCGCCCTACCCCCTGTCACCCTTCTGGGTCTCTCTCTCTCTCTCCCTCTCTTCCTCTCTCTCACTGTATCCTTAATTCCTGGACATCTGCATCCCAACAGATGTGATTTAGGAATTCTATAAGGGGGGAGTACCCCACAGTATACAATATATTCCTACTTACACGCACACACATACACAAACACACATGGGGGTAGTAGTCCTGTATTGATCACACCCATTGATTTCCTCCTCTTTATGACACAGAGGAGATCTAAAACAGAAAAGTCTCCTGAACAAATGGTGGAAATAACTCTCTTTCTCTCTCCAATGACGACTTGGACAGTCAGCATATCAAGATGTAGTGCGAAATAAATGCAAGACAGCCATTTCAGCTCTAAGCATTGAGCTCTGTTCTCAAAGGATTCCCAGTTTTCAGATCCCTGAATATATCTGAGCATGTGTTCCACTCATATAATATGTGTGGACAGCTCATTGATCCATTGCAGTGTGCTGGGGAGGAGTACAGCTATAGCACTTGAGCAGGGCTAAAGGATAAATGCTCGTAATGAAGCGGCAACGACAGTCACGTTAGACCTCAAAGGCTCTAACCGCAGGAAAACCTTCAAATGAGCCTTTATGTATGAGTGTGGTACCCTATCTAGAAAGTGGTACTCATACGCAAGAGGGCACATATGCTGTGGTGAAATACAGCCCTGCTATAGGAGTGAAATCCCTGAGAAGCTAAAGGGGGGGTGTGCACGGGGTGGTTAAAGGGAGTGTTGGGGGGTGGGTTGGTGGCTTTGGGCTGTTCAGGGATGCCACATTATTAAGACAGATGGGGGAAAAAGAGAGAGTATTCCACCACACTCTTTTCCAGACAAGGATTAAATCCTATTGCAGTATTATTCACGCCCTATTTTTACTCTACTGATAAGGGTTAACGCAAGTGCTCTTCCTCTCAGCCTGTGTCTCGTTTTTCCCCTCTCTCTCTCCCTCCCTCTTTCGCACCCCTCCTTACAGAATAATATGGGTGCAGCGGCTTTTTGGCCCGACTGGTGCAGATAAGGCAGTGAGGCCTTGGGCGGTGCTTTCATCTTCCAACGCACTGCTCCAAAATAGCAGTTAGACTAGCAGCCCAAGCGCTGTGGCAGCCCAAGTGATGCGCCGCAGCTCCGTACTGGCATAACTGGTGTCAGTCTGGGGGCCACAACACACCCGGTTGCGACTGGACATCCAGTTTTGGATTCGCTTGTGCAGACTGGCCAGATGGTTAGCAAGAGTTGCACAGTGCTGTATGTGTCCATAATATCACCATGATGAGTGAATTATGGTTTTATGTGGAATAAGAGGCAGATTGGCGTGGAACCAGACAATGAGGTCAAATGGATAGAGGAGCTGCAATCCTCTTAAGTGCACACTGCTGTTTGCCACTGGCTGCTCCAGACTCTGGAATACCAGGGGTTCTAATCCCAACAGTGGCAAAAAATCGTACATGGCCATGGTATTCTGTGGGATTACGAGTGTCTAGACTTACCCTGTGGCAGGCCGTCCCACACCTCCAGCCAGTCATACTTGCATTCTCCCTCAGAGCCCTGCAGAGGGTCGTTCTCCAGGTCGAAGGTGAGGAAGGTGAGGGTGACTTCCATGTGGGGAGGGACGATGATGATGAAGGTGCACTCCAGGTTGTGAGGGTACTTATCAGGGAAGCCTGGTGACTCGATCACACCTGATGGGCTGGTGAAGTTTCGGGAACAGTCTGAACCTGAACAATGAAGAGACAAAAGGAAGAAGACTTGCAGTTAATAGTAGCCTGCAAATACAGCATTTCTCCAATCTATCTGTCTGTCTGTCTGAGTGCAGAAGGCACACTAATCATTGACAGACACAATCTCTTCGCCCGCTGCTAATCATATAGCATTATAATTTGCCAACTGTTCCCATCACACAGACATATATGCATAGACTGACAGTGAGTAGCGAGTTAACTCACTGAAGGAACACACTGAAGCGTGTGAATATTAGATCCTTCATCACAGCAAAGCATTCAATCTACACACAAAAAGCCCTCCATCTGCAAAATGAGAGTGAATGAGAGTGATATCCTGGCCTTGGAGCTTTTGTCAATACTCACTCACTGCCTGAGCAGAAAAAATGCTTCCTCTCATTCGCATGTACTACTGAATCTTATTACAGGAAAGCAAGAAAAAGCCCATAGTCCTCTGTGCATTTGGGTATATTTAGCAGCTTCATGTTCCTCCAGGTGTCTTCCTTAGTATGAAGAGTATTTTTTTCCTACAAATCCTCTACAGAAAACACATTTCTGTACATTTTAATGCACAATTCCTATTATTTGCGAAGTTTAACTTATTGAGAAAAAGGAACCAATAAATAACACGCCTTAACTTTTGCACAGGCCACATTTTGTGTTTTATTTTTTTCCTAATATGTTAAATTCAGCAAATAAACAGTTAGTGTGCATTAAATTGTACAGAAGTGTGTTAACTGTACAGGATAAGTGCATATTTTCACTTAGAAAATCAACTAAATATGCAATTTGACCAGGGGTGCTCAGTCTTTTGCATACAACTGTACACAGATGTTTATAAAGTTATAAAGTGTCACTTTCTGTGGTGAAATCACATCTAAATTGCCAAAGGCAGCCTTTATGACGACAGCTGCTTGTTGAAATAAGCCTTTCTAGATGTTTATGTAGGTTTATGTCAGCTGTCATGAATAACTTATGCAGGTGTAAGTCTTGTGGCTAAAAATAAAAATAAAACAAAAATCACCAAATAAACACAGGCTTCAAAAAGGTTAACATATTGCAAACCAACAAAGACAGCATACATTTAATCAACACATTTTGAAAAGCTAGGTGCCCCCAAACTTTTAATAGGCAGTATGTCTGAGACTGGCATACAAAAAAAACAGCCATTCTCAGACACACGCACATGCCATCGATCTGAACACTCTTCTCTTTCACCACCACCATGGTTTAGCTATAAAGTTAAAGGCAGACAGTACGCTGAGTTGCGTGTGCTTAAGCTCCAGGCCCAGCAGAAGCACAGCTGTGTAGGGAACCTGCACTGAACACACTTCAGGAGGCCTCAGTCTGAGACTGACTTCAGCTCACACTCAGTACTCAGCCCTGCTCTGATTCATATTTCATACTCGTGTTGTTTGTGTCTCTTCATATTCTCTCTTTGTCTCCTAGTTCTTTTTCTTTTCAACTCTCTTCTCCTTCTCTCTCTCTCTCTGGTGCTTGCTACGTTAAAGCAGAACTGTGTCTTAATTACAAGGAGATGGAAAAAGTAGAGCGGGGAAAACGAGCAGGAGCCCCAGAGGAGCCACACTGTGGGTCAGTCTGTTCTCCCACAGCATCTTGGGTATGCAAACGTATGCCCAGTCATGGTTCACCTTCAGAAGCATCATACGTGTTCTACATGCCAACTCTCATCTGCCTCCCAAACGCACCATCAGGCGCTGTGCCCCTCCGCTGACTCTAAAAAGATCCAAAGTCACTGTGTTAATACTAATGCGCACAGTGATAGACCCACGCACAATATGCTATCCCATGGGGCTGCCTTTCAGTATCTCCTCTCATCAATACTCTACGCATCTGTCACATAAACACAAACCTCTCTCTCTTTCTCGCTCTCTCATCACATACAAAGTCACGGTACACATTAGTATTAAAAGAGTGACTCTATGCCTGATGTGTGTGTTTGTGTATCTTTGTGCATTAGTATTAAAACACTGACTTCATATCTCTTTGGAGTCAGCTAAGGGGCACATATGTGGCACAGAGACCGACTGTGTGTGTGCGTGTGTGTGTGTGTGTGTGTGTGTGTGTGAGATCTGTTGACAGGGGCTTGGAATAGGTTGTGTGGGCTCAGGCAGGGGGTAAAATATCAGAGGATGAAAGAACAAACAGTCAGTAATCTGTGGCTCTTAACTCTTAAATAACTGTAATACTTTAACTATTTATATTCTGCTGACCAGCTGCAAGTCTGACAGCACCACACCGTCACTCACAATGACCAGCCAGAGACGGAGCAACAACTGTTACACACACACACACACACTTGTATTTCTATCATTGTGGTCACTTCCAATGACGTCTGTATTACTGTAGCTAAATACAACAACCCCAACCTTATTAAGAATAAATATTTTTGCATGAAACCCATCCTTATTTTATTTAATTTCCAGTTAAAACAGCCTTTAAGCACAAGTTGTTCAATCTCAGAATCAGGAAAAAAAACAGAAGAATATATCTTACACAAACAAATACAGAGGCCTCAACTGTTAAATACAATATCACATTTTTCAGCATTTAGTGTGCCCACCCTTTGCCTTTATCACAACTTCCAGTCTTTTCTGGGACACTTTCAGTTTTTTGAAGAAATTTACAGGAATATTTTTCCACAATCCTAGAAGTTGGACACATTTTCAGATTCTCACAATCCAATATCCAATGATGCGGAGGTCTGCTCAACTTTTGTACAGTACTGTATATACGCTCATTATATAATCATTTTTCCTCATGCAGACCAGCCAAATGTTTCCAGTGTTTCATAGTGTCAAATTTTTCTTGCTTTCCATTTGATCCCCATGAACAAATTGAATATATGGCTACACACTCACACAGATACTTATACTTTCTTTTTTCACATACTATTTAAAAATACCAGCTGTCCTTTACATAGTGTGAACATTTCATGATGAATGGACAAACAGAGATGGTCCATAATTACTTGAAATCTCACTACTTTCTTGTTAAGAAGTTCTATCCTTCTCTTGACAGTATGCCACTTCAGAGATACAAGCGACCAACTCTTAAAGGGGTCCTAGCACTCTAGAGAGATTAATAGAGCTCTATAATAAGGCATTACAGTTGGAGACAGCATGACCCACTGTCTGAGGACTTAATGAGAGGTCAGTTCCCCTACAGGGGCGAGCCTGGGCCTGCCACAGAGACTCTGGGGTAGAACACACACAGACGCACACGCTCACATACTCTCCTGAGCCCTCTCCCTAGCTGACACCTCAGACGCAGTGTAGTTGAGTGTGGCAGCTGATTGAGAGATAGAGAAGCTGTGGTGAAGCAGCTGGCCTGGGTTAATGTTACACTCTGCGCTCACTCTTCCCTGTCTCCTTCCTCCCTGTTGCACCTCCACCACGCCATACATCTGTTTCATATGGCAATGTACATGTGTGTGTTTGTGCAGGCCTCTTTCAGACATGGGTATATGCACACACGCACATACACACACACACACACACACACACACACACCTGCTTACATGCATACGCATGAGCATTTTGATGAAACATTTTTTAACCCCTTAAAATCCACAGATATCCACATGCTATGGCCTATTGTTCAGTACAGTACTGTGTTCAAGTCAGAAACCAACCTTTCATCAAAATGGTCATTAAAAACAAGGCACTCACTTTTCATTGTCAGGAAAAAAGCAGAAAACATAACATTGCTGACCATAAAATATGTATTTCCAAAATACAGGAGAAGGCAAAAACATTCTTAACTTTTAATGTAAGCTATTGTGAAGAGGTTTCATTACCAGTGACTTTAGAGCATTTATGTCCATTTATCATGTACTTGTCACACAGTGTAAAGGACAGCCACTGTGTTCAAATGTTTTTCTGGACAGCGATGATACATTTAACAGACCATTATACAGAAGCCTCTACAACTAAATATGATGTCAAATTTTCAGTATTTACTGTGTCCATATCTTGCCTTTATTACAGCTTTTATTTATTTCAGTTTTCAAAGAAATCTGCAGAGATATTTTTCCACACCTTCAAAGTTCAGTCTTAGATGTTGGTCACATTTTTTTTTTGCCTTGTATGATTCATAGCATTGAGCTGTTTTCTCACGGTGGAAGGATAGACAAAAAAATCTACCAAGAGTGGAGCTTGATTATCTTCCATCTCTTAAGGATAAATAATTAAATAAACAAAAAATAAGAGGTCTCTGACTTTGTTATAAGTGATAAGTTATAGGAGTAAAGAATGGAACTCTAGATGTGCCATGAATGCTTACGGGTTAAAATCTCTCTCTCTCTTTGTCCTTCGTATACTCACACACAAATGTGTGTCTGATGTGTGGAGCTCTTCGCCCCTGCAGTAATCAGATATAAATAACTCATTACAAGCTCCTGCACAGGAAGAACGCGACACCAAAACAATTTCATTACGGCTGTACATAACACACATTCTTTACATAATGCGTGTCCTATCCTTGATACTCAACCTGTGTGTATCTTCTGTCTGATAGCCACAGTATGAACTCTAGAGCTGTATTAGTGCTTGTGTTACCAGATCAATTTAAAACATTCCAAACATGAAACCAATGATTTCTCAGAGTTATCAGCAGTCAAAATTAGACAGTACAAAACAAAACTTTTATATATAAACTCAGCCAACCTAAATCTAACCTTTGAGTTTCTATCTGAATCACTTAAACTCAACTTAAAGTGCACTGGATTACTAACACTCTCACTGTCTGTATTATACATATATAACTATCTATATGTAATAGTAATATGTGCCATATACTTTATACACAATCACTGGCCACTTTTTTTTGCATACCTTGTATCTACAATCATTGTCCATTTTGTAAGACCCACTTACCATATAGGTGCACTTTATAGTTCTCCAATTACAGATGGTATCCATCTCTGCATAACTTGATACACCCTCCTTTACCCCACTCATGAGTGGTCAGGACCC